CAGTATAGGGCAGAATTAGAAGCCAAACAAGTATGACAATTACTTAATGGGTTGTTATTCGTACTTATATTTTAATGTGTTGTAAATGTTTTCCTTACCGACAAGGGGGGTTCGATGGCCGAATGGTTAGCGCGTGCGCGTTGTCTGTCATTGAGTCGACTGGCGTGGTTTCGAATCCCCGGTTGTACGTGGCAAGGAGTAGGGTAGCCTGTCCAACCTCGTGGGTTTTCTCGGGGTCCTCCGGTTTCCTCCCACTGCTAAAGACCCCTACGCCCAAACGAATTATTGAAATGAAATTGAACCATTTTATTCCCGAAGTTACCTCTTTTGTGTCGAGTGGACGTTAAACCCCATTTCTCTCTCCTTCCCCACAAAAGAAAAAATATGCGACACCCTTATTGACTGCCCGGACGACTTAGCTGCTGTGGGCGTATGTGTCGTTGTCTGGCAACCTATCTTTAAAATCCACAACAGGCCAATGAATAATATAATAATTATTTGGTGTGAATGGGGTATGCTGCATTGACTGGAATACGTTTTACATTCACGATTTGTCAGCCACAGAACAAAATAACCGTGTACGAAAAAATAGCATGTTCGATGATGTAGGAAAGGTATTTTACAAGATTACAAATTATCTAAAACATGGCCAAACAGAAATTTATCCCAGTTCGCTAGGTTTTGTGTATTTGTTCCTTATACTATTGGATGCGTATTCTAGCTAATGATACTATTTCACAATCTACATATTTATTGTTTTAACTGCATGTATTTATATTTTGTAACTAACACGGTGTTTCTTGTTATTTATAATACAGTGCACGCACTAAAATGCATGGTCTGTTTTGACAATCACCGGGTTAGTATGTTATATGAACACCTACTTTTCCTCAAATGATCACCTGTGCACGTGCTAAAACAACACATTACAGGTTGATCAGAACAAAGGGTCCAGTGTGTAAATACTTAAACTAACTTTTTTTAGTTAAAGTCTTTGCAATCTGCTGGCACTGGAAATTATTAGAAGTCTTCGTGAACAAGCTTTATCATTTAATGGGGAAGTAATTTTTGTTCATTATATTTCATACCCTCCCACAAGGAAGTCAGTTAACAAAAGCCTCATTGGCTTGTTTTTGGATCCTAATCGTCCACATGACTTAAAGAGGGTCACGTCGATAATTTGTCTACCATCCGATATTTAGTGAGTATTGCCACTGGTTGACGGAATCTAGACTAGTCAACTTTAATTATTTAATTCCAATCCGTTTATTATAACTACTGAAAGAGAATAGGTTTCAGATTAGTTATTTGCCCCTGAGTTAGTAAAGAAATGAATTGTGTAATTCAAGCGTGGGAGAGAGTGCCTTGGCGATGACCAAAATTCTGGAAGGCCACCAACAACAAACATTCAAGAAAATACTACCCGGGCGGGTGCAAGACATGGTGATGTCTGATCGACGATTGACCACTCGCTATATAGCCAGTTTTGTGAGCATCTCTCATTAGCATATTATCGCCAACGAGTTACGAATGACAAAAAGTGTCTGCAAGATGGGTGCAATGAGAAACGTGTCATATTTCTGACGTCCCGTGACAATCTGCGCCCTCTTGAAACCGGGACTAGGCGGTCGTCATTTAGTAATGATGACGTCATGTCAACTGTGAACGACCTTTTTAGGTTGGTTGAAGACAATTTCTTCCTGACAGGCATCTAGGCTTTGCAACGTCGTTGACAAAAGTGAGGTCTTTCACCGTTCTTAGAACGTTTTAGCCAGCCCTCGTAGCACCATGCTAAATGTTTGTTTTTATACGCCCACATTTTCATGTGGACGTATATTGTCGTCGCCCCTGTCAGTCCGGCCGTCCGTCCACAATTGTTTGTGAACAGACAGGTCACAATTTTTATCCGATTTCAATGAAACTTGAAATATAGGTTTATCACCCTAAGATCTCGGTTCCTTTCGATATTGGCATGGGTTATGGCCCCTGATTGTACGAAAAATCACGTTTTTGGCCTGTGAACACTGTAGAGTCACAATTTTTATCCGATTTGGTTTAAACTTGAAATGTATGCTTATAACCCAAAGATCTCGGTTCCTTGCGATATTCGTGCATATCGGAACGTCACTTCTTGAATTATGGCGCCTGATTGTACGCAAAAATGCGTTTTTTGGCTTGTGGACCCTATAGAGGTCATAATTTTTATGACGGAGTTCGAATTTCGGGAAAATCGGCCCAAAACTGACAGATAAAATGGCCGCCCTTCGTTCTCAAGTAGCGTAAAAATATGGTATATCAAGGTTGTGGACCCTATAGAGGTCACAATTTTTATCCGATTTTGTTGAAACTTGAAATGTAAGTTTATAACCCAAAAATCTTGGTTCCTTTCGATATTTGCGCATATCAAATTGTAATTTCCTGAATTATGGCCGTGATTGTAGGAAAAATCACTTTCGTTTTAGCTTGTTTTCTATCCATCTCTCGAAAATGTGGACGTATCCTGCCTGGCAGCCGCTGGTTAATATTTTAAGTTAATTTTGTGTTTCAATAGAAGACAGGTGGGTACCTATGTGTTTGTAAGGAAATGGCGGCATATTAAAGAACAAAATCATTTTGCGAAGTATTGCAAAACCTAACAACAAGAATACTGACATACAAAAGTTTTGACAAAGGGGTGTAATGCCGACATAGAGAGTGGAACTATGGCCGAACGGAATGCATGAATGAAATGAAATGAGGTTTAACATCCTACTGATATGCTCCTGATGGGCAGATAAATACGGGCATACGCCACGGAGTGTGCATGTGGGAAATCCTGTCCAACTTTGAAGGGTTCTTTTACGTGTAAGCCAATGGCGATATCTCAGGTTTTCGTTTCTTCCAAACGAATGTACGTTGTCATTTGCCCGACACTGTCCCCTAGCTGTCATGTACCATGCACGGACAAGAGCGTGCCACGCCAGTAAATCCAGATGAACATTCTTGGCCAACGCAGGGATCGAACACGAGACCTCTAGGTTAGCGGACCACCGTCCTACTCACTGAGTCACCGTGACTCCTAGAAGAATATTCATAAAACTCATATTTATTTATCTACCGTAAACATATAAGTACTTGTACTTATCTGCTTTGATAATATTTCATGTAAATCATTTCAACATTCAATCCGGTTCGATGATAATTAAGGAAGGCGTGCAGGTTGTAAGAGACAATGCATGTCTAATTAAGCAAATCATTTCTGGTGGGGGCGTGATCTTTCATTGGTTTCTGCACATTATGCCTAACAAACATATATGGTCCGATATACGGTGCCTCCCACTTCTGTGGGGTTGGATGGCCGAATGGTTAGCACGTGCGCGCTGTATCATGAGGCCTGTCATTGAGTCAACTGGCGTGGTTTCGAATCCCCGGTTGTACGTGATAAGGAGTATTGTTGTCTGTCCATCCTCGTGGGTTTTCTCCGAGTCCTCCGGTTTCCTCCCACTGCTAAAGACCCCTACACGCAAGCGAATTATTGAAATAAAATGAAACCATATGTTAGTCCCGAAATGACCTAGTTTGTGTCGAGTGGACGTTAAACCCCATTTCTCTCTCTCTCGCCTCCCACTTCTAAAGAACACTTTGCAATATACCATTGCCACTTTCGTGTGTCCCTTAAAAAAAAAATCCCCTCCATCTTCCCTCCCCCCCCCCTCTCTCTCTCTTTCTCACGCACATTTTAAAGAATTGAATGTAAATCAGTATGGTTAGGAGATGACGAACTCTGCGACTTTCCTTTCCGGAGTTATGTTTCCTTTCCCTATAACGCCGTGAACGCGGTAAAGAGTTTTTACCAGATTTGTTTTTCAAATTGGGTTTGCAGCATTGTCATCCCGAGTGGACGAATCCTATCAATATGAACTCAGACTAGCAATTATTTGCCCATTGACTTCAATGTTAAATGGCTGTAACATCACCGGCTGTAGCTTTTTGCTAAAAATTCCGTTGGTTCCAATCTTTATAGGCACAATGGGGACAACATTTGGCAATCTCCTCGTCATAATTGTGTAGGGGGTTGACCATTTAGATTTTTTGCTACGCGGATTTGAAGTTGACTGGGGTGAAAATCTCACTTCCAACACAATGATTGCTCTGCAGAAGGACACTTTACACCCCCTATCCCTCCGCTGTAATATCATCAGTATTACCCAAAACTGCTATGAAATTGCAAATTTGATCCCTTTTCTCCAATTCTAGACCAAAAAGTCAACCCAAAAATGCAGGAAGAGGGGAGAAAAAAATTAGGGGAAAAATTGTCTATTTATAACTCGCTTATAGTCTTAGTCCATATTCAGCGTTTTGGAGTTATTGCCCCCTCCCCCGAAACCGTTTTTATGGATTTTTTTAAATTTAGTGTGAAATAAGGGGAAATAATTACTAGTCTTAGTCCATATTCAGCGTTTTGGAGTTATGCCCCCTCGCCCGAAACCGTTTTTATGGATTTGTTTCAAATTTAGTGTGAAGCATGGTGGCCACGAGGGGAAGGATCCTATAAATATTCTGCGTTGAAGCACATCGATATTAATCGTTGAAGCATATCGATATTCGGCGTTCAAGTAATTTCGCCATTTCCTGTTAATCTATGTCCTTCATTCCCCTCGCAAATAAGCAATATATACAAGGGTAATTTCCCTTGCAATACTACCCTTTGTCCAATGTTTGTTGATGTCTCACTCAACATCCTTAATAGAAAGATATGAATTCCAGGTGGCCATCTCTATCAATATTCCCAGGGACTTACAACTCCCTGGACCTGATTTCGGTTTAGAAATACTTCGGTTGATCATTGCCCCCCCCCCCCCACACACTCTTCACTAGCCATGTCGGCTGGACATTTAATTTGCTACAATTAGGGGAGTGCATAATAAATTGCAGAAACGGATTGATAATGTCCGAAAATTGTTTACTGTTGCCTTTCAGAGAACTATTAATGTCAAACAAACTTGTACTCATATAATAACTCTTTTAAAAAAAATCTTTTTTATATAAAACAACACAATGTACTAGTATAATGGCACAAATGTAAACATTGAGTCCTATAGACGTAAAATGCATTACTGCAAAAGGTCTAAGAGGAAATGAAATGAAATGGGGTTTAACGTCCTACTGTTCTGCTCCGAACTGGGCTAATGAATACGGGCATACGCCATGCAGTGTGCTATGAGGGAACTTTTGACAGGACAGCGGCACTACGACCTACTACCCTCATATTGAATTCTAACTGCCAAGGGATCTTTTACGTGCACGCCAATGTGTACATGGGACCTCGGTTTTCGTCCCATCCGAACGACTAGACACCTGTTCTTGTCAGGCCCTCCGTCCTGCATCACTGACAAGGGGGAACCACGCCGGAAAATCTGAATGAAGTTTCTTTCTCGAACAATGCAAGGATCGAACACCCGACCTCCAGGCTAACGAGTCAGCGTCTTACCCACTATGACCCCGGTCTAAAAGGAACAATCTTACATTGAACAGAAGAACCTATAATAAGAACTAGTTCAAATAAGTGAATCAAACGGCAGATACGATGAATTCAAATGAAAGTTTCAGTTCTAAATATTGAGTCGTTCAGAAATAATACGCATACATGTAACGAGTTCAGCCCATTGTTCAGTTGTATGCCTTGCCCTATTGTAAACATAATATATCATTTTATTTCAAACATAATGCACACACAATTAACCAGTTTTATCCATTACAATATATTTTGGACGATTTACAAATGTTACCTTGACGGCAGTAAATTTCTATAACGATATGTAGTAATTTGAATGCAGGGTCCGTGGTGGTGTTGCTTCACTGCATGTATTCTTGTTATACAGTTTATAACACTTTTCCATTATAGTTGATGCTTGTCGGCGATCACCATGGTAATAATAAATATTAGACAATAACTGATAATTATTAATTATCGATTGGTCAATCGATAACGAGGCCTCCAATCGCCGCACTGCTTGTTCAAATGCTCCTAAATTAAACAACCAATTTCCTTCGTAATTTAAAACAGTTGCATTCCTACCAGTCGGAATTGATTTTGCCGTCGCCGATAATTTGGCCTCGTCGTATCTATTAAACGTGCGACGTAGAACCGACATATTTCCTGATCTGAAGACCTCTTTATATCCAAAGTTTATAAAAGATCGATTAATTCCGATAATAAGATAATTATATTTCGGGTTGTTTATTAAAAATTTCAAAAGGTACGGCGTATTCCTTACAGATATAAAATTTGAAACCCTGCTGAAGGTTGAAACATGTGCCTTTTTTGACCCCATGTTGTATTTTGAGGTCAGATTCAGTCTTGAATTAAAATCGAATTCGTAAAATTCGTGTATAAGTAATGTCAGTACCGGTACGTCACGATGCAATACAGAATAACCACCCGCCATGTGAATACTCGTGTCTAGAAACACGCCGGTGACGTCTTCGGTGTGAGCTACGTAATTTAAACATGTGTTCACGTCATTGGAATGATAAATTCCGGCATATACCCAGGCACGATTTGACTTATCAGTTGGACTTGGAAAGTTTTTGTAACCATTCACAATTAAGATACAACTTAAGAATATAACACATTTTCGACTAGAAATCGGATTAAAGTTTGACTTTAAATAGGAACAAATAATCCCAGCTATAATGACGTAATATAAACAGAAAAGATGGTGGATATGTCGAGGTTCCTTGTGTCCCTGTAAAGAATAGAACACGAACAAGAAAACAAACGACGCCATTGACTTACAGGGAATAACGATTGATTCGCGGTGTCCGAAAATCACCATACCGCACACCACAGTTACACTGAACGCCAATAACAATAAATTAATGCTGCTTTCAATAAATAAAACTTTTAGATAAAACGTAAATTCCATGGTTCCAAATAATGCGCCAGAAAAATGCTGTAAAACGTTAAAATTGAACCAGTTGAAAGGGGAGATAACTCCATAACCATAAGACGAAAAGTCATCCCGTAAGCAGATTGATAGAGCTAAAGTTGCTCCAACTCCACAGTAAACGTGTCTAAAGGTCATCAAACGATTTATATGACAATGGGGAATATACACAATTAAACAAAATATAGTTAAATCAGGACGGATATAACACGAAAGAGTCAACACAAATGATGAACATAGTATTATTAGGTTCTGCGGGTGGGTAGATGTCCATGCACTTAGCAATGGAAGTGTAGTGTATCTTTTTCGCGGCTCCATTTGGGACATATTGCCTTCCATGTTACACCACCCATGGATTTTCTTTAATCCATGGAGACCATTTGGTACCATGTCATACAACTGTAGAACAGAGTTGACAAAAGGTGCACTCACACGACCCACATCCTTGGAAGTTGAGTTATTAGCTGTTGTATTCGGCTGCTGAATGTTGGAATTTATATCTTTCAATTGACTATACTTTTCCTGTTGGTCTGTTTTATGACGTTTGTGAGCTACGTTTGTATGCGTTGTTGGCTGACTGGAATTTTTACTTTCAGTGACTGAATTGTAAACAGTTGAATGTCCGCACCTTCTTGTGCCGTCCGTACACACGTCCTGGGCATCCGACTGACCATGCTGTTCTTTTTGAACGCCTTTGCAGGTATTATGTGCAACTGGTAAAATGTACGACAGCGATAAAAACACAAACGGGGCGAGAAAACTGTTGATTAATGTGTGGGTTCCAAACACATTTAGATGAATTGATGAAGAAGCTAGCACTGCTGCCATGACACCTGCATCATGTGATCCGAAGAGTCTCTTGGTAAATATAAAGACGGCCAATGGTAGTGTTGAGGTGATGCATGCGTGAGATATTTTCCATGACTGAAAAAATGACAAAACAATGAAATTGAAGAAAATGAATTGGGTTAAACTCCTCACCTTTCTGCGCCAACTGAAGACGGACATAGACCATGATTTGAGCCATGAAGGACATTTCACTCGGACAGTGGCGCTATGGCCTACACAGGGTTGCTGTACCTGCGCGCCAATGTATGCACAGTATATATATATATATATATATATATATATATATATATATTTATATATATATATATATATATATATACTGCGTTGTTTATAGTAGGAGTTTGACCAAAACCTCAAATAGAACAAACACACAAGGAATCTAGATTTAGATACCGGTCAATCAAACACACCCTAAATTATATTGTTATACATTATTACACAATATTTGATAATAAAATACTCCCTACTCAAAGATTATCGTCATACGCCGCGACGTTCTATTCGAGAATGCGCTCCCCTAAGCTCTCGACTACCGCAGACCTATCATATACATTCGGCACACCTCGGTTCTCTGGTACACTACATCTAACCGCGACTCTATGGCGATTTCCGCCATTGGAACTACTTTAACGTTTCCGGATTAAAAATGGCGGCGCCCTTGAAGACACCATTGAAGTGTGTTTTATCTCAAGGATATGTATACATCATACAAAGCTTTCAGTGTCTGGGGCTGTTTTTCTTACAAGTTTATCCAATTTTCGTTAAACAAAGGAAAACTTTGCAATGAAAACTCTACACGCTCTTCTTCGAACGACACCATTTTGAGAATTTCTTTCTAATAGCTGCAATTTTTCCTAATCAGTAAACCGGTAGCCAATCCCAATTGTATGGATGTAGCTACATATATCACTTACCGTCATACATACGATGTAGGGTACCGGAGTCTGCGGAGGTTTGGGAATGCTGCCGTATAATGTGAATACATGTACATGTACTTTCAAACAGTCTTATGGCTGAACATTGATGTGACGAACATTTACCCCTTTTGTATTTGAACCGTCCGAAAACCCCATCCTCATTCAGGGCTACTTTAGACCGTCCCAAGAACTATTCACACAGCGGTTTGGGGCTGTTTGAGGAACATTAGGTCCGGGCGGCTTCGGTCTACCGGATATGGCATGAAATATGTCATTTTCTCTCGTTAATTTGTCGTCATGGTAACGTGGTACCAATAGATAATGGGTTAAAGAATGAGAAAAAAGCAAACAAGCGGTATAATCTGCCTTTATAAAGACCTACCAGGAATGGCTGGACATCGACGTTTAGTACTTCCAGACAATATGAGATGAATACGAAAAAACCTGGAAATAAAAACGACCTCATAGCCGCCATTCCGAGTTGTAACTCCCTCTCTCTGATTCTAGTATTGTTGGGTTGTGCTTCACCAGTAAGGTATTCATAAGGTCGAAATCCATACCCATAGACTTCAGAATGGGCAACTGAAAAGACACAAAATTAACGATCGGGCATGAATGCAATTTATCTTTCTCACCACGAGCGGACTGAACTCGCCCGCTTTAAATCATAAAGTCTGTCATTGAGTCAAGTGACTTGGTTTCGATTCCCTGATTGTATGTACCATGGAGTAGCGTCGTTTTTCCAGCCCCTTGGGATTTCGCCATGTTCTCGAGTCCCCACTGCCAAAGACCCTCTCTCTCGTTGACGAATAGAATGATGTGACAATCTGATGTATTTATCAGTTAAAAGCTTGTCCAGTAACTGAGATTAAATTTTACATCCCTTTTAGCCAGACCACTCATTGACCCAAAGACCTGCGGTATATTGCTTGTGGGACGTTGGGGTTAGACTAACAAAAACGTCCGAGTACTCAAAGACCCAAAAACCTGCCGTCTACTGAATCTGGGACGTTAGGGTTAGACTTACAAATATCCGTCTACCACTAGTTAAACGCAGAAGATCGTCGTTTTTCATGTTTGTAACACGGGTATCGCTAATTCATTGTCATTGTATGATAACAATTTGTGGGATGTCAAAGTGACGAACAAATGATTCGGATAGATAATGGGAAGTAAAGGTATTTCGCCTTGGGGTTATATTGAAATCACCAACCGTGATTTTGTTATTTTGCCCGGATATTAGTGTTTTCGTCATGCACTACTTTCATGTGAAAGTCGGAAGATCCCAAGTCAAATCTTGACTCAACACTTGATGGTCAGTGAGCCAGCGCCATAGTCACTGAGTCACCAAGGTTCCCATGTACATGTATACAATTTAATAATATTTTTAAAAAAAATGATCCCCTGTATTCAGGACGTTCCAATTAAAATTTTACATCAAAGAGTACTTCTCGCGTGCTTTTGATAATTATATTTTAGTTAGTAATAATAGGTGTTTTAATCGCAGTCTACCGGTTAGGTAAAATTAAACGAAACGAAACAAAACGAAGTCAAATGAAATAACATAACACAATAATGAAAGTATTGTATAGAGTACAGATAAGAGGGGTTTTCTCCTGACTTTGAACACTACGTGTATTTAGCTATCAATAATAGGCGTTTTAATCGCAGCTTACCGGCTAGGGAAACTTAAAGGAAACGAAGTCAAATGAAATAACTGAACACGATAGTAAAAAAATTGTATCGGGAACCGACCAAGTCATGGGGTATAATGATCTATATAACAATAAAGTGTGAAATATATCATCATTAAAGTGTCTGTACCGTGAAAGGAATATCTTTAGTGGTTTTATTCTTTAAGTAATAAAATCTATATATAGTCATCGATTTATTGAGTTATATTCAACACTCTATTAATAGGTTATGAATAAAACTGTTTACTATTAAATCTATACACGTAGTAATCTTTGCTATAATAGTATCTCGTGCATTATGTGATATAATTAGATGGATTTCTTCACTCAACTGGGTTATAAAGAAAATAAAATTGCTTTGCACGCCTTAATGTAAAACTATATCAACCATATACACACATAAAACTATGATATACTACTATTTCATATATTATTCATATCAATTAAAATAGACTTTATGTAGATATAACTGGATGGATTGTTTCACTCGACAGACACATTAATCTTTGATATAATATTATTACACGTATTACGTGATATGAAATAAATACTTTTTACGTAGGTTATAATTTGAAGCATTGATTCACTTGACGGAGAACTGGGCTAAATTGGTTTAAGGTCTTGGCAGCAACCAGGTTAATGAAGACAGGCATACGTCATGCCGAGTACTATCAGGATAACTGTGTCTTCTCATATTTCTAATTCCTACAGACAGATTCCGTAACGTGCATTATCATTTTGTACGCGTGTTTAGTTTTTGTCGTCGCATCCGAACGATTATGCACCTTTACTCGCTAGTCCCCCGCCCTGCGCCCCTTGGGGAAGAGAAACCACGGTGAAAAATCCCAAAGATCTTTCTCGGTCGAAACATGGATCGAACCTTGAGACCTCCTCCTTAACGAGCCAGCGCCATACCCACCCAATAAACTTGGCTCCCGTCTAAGACATAGATGAAAAGAAACACATTAAAGCATAACTGACCTTCAAGCGACTGGTAAATTTCATCAGGATGAAGAATCCACCAGTTACTAGGCTGAGAAACATAGCACACTCTGATAACTATGGTAACCAAAAATATTAAATATGATGAATACCAGGGGAACATGCATCCATTTCCTGTCGATTTAGAAACCTTTTGAATCTTGATTAATCCACTAACAGGTTTCACTTTTCCTTTCTTCATTGTTTTACTTCAAAACCTCGACATATCACTTCTTAGTGGTTAGATATTGACATAAAAATCAGTTTTACGTCCGGCCCGTGACTCGAATATTGTGCTATTGTCGTGATGTACTCTATACGTTAGTAGCTCCTCCCTCCAGTATGACATCCGTCAATATTTGTGGTCCTACTTAATAAATACGTAAACTCCCCAGTTCAAACAATAATTATTTATTCTACTTAGACGCTTCGGTAAACTTTACAGATTTGAATATATCCGTTTATAATTGTTTCGTGTAAATTAAATCAAATTCAATAACACACCACAGTTCAAACAATAATTAACTAATTAGACGCCTCTGTCAAATTCACAGATCTATATACGCCCGTTTGTAATTCGTGTCGTGTAAATTTAATCAAATTCACATCAAACATATGTTGATTTTATCTTACTAGTCCCAAGTCGTGTAATCTGTAGTCAATATCTGGAGAGATTCATTCCGTTAGCCGCGAGCACTATACTATTAACAACCAGTCCGCCTAGTCACCGTTACACGTTGTACATCAATGACACAGTAGTGTTCACGTTGCTGACTGAAAAACAAAATCATTCATAATAAAATCTTAATGAATTGAAAAATAAATGTACTTGTAAGATGTTCGTGAAAAAATTGCGAAACATTCTGTATTAATGTTGTAAGGGGACCATCGTGGCTCAAACAGAGAAACGTTGGCTCAGTAACCAGAAGGTTCGGGTTCGATCCAGCCTTGGCCAAGAAAGTTCCCGGGGTATTCCAGCGTGGTTCCCCGTGACAGTGTTGCTGGGCGGATGCAGCTATTAAGGAACAGGGTCAAGTCGTTCGGTTAGAACGAAAAGTCGACGTCCCGTGTACATGATGTCGGGGTGCACGTAAAAGAACCCTTGGCAGTTGGAATTCGGTGCTGAAAAGAGGGACGTTAAACCACTTTCCATTCAGTCTTATTGACGGTCACCACAAATATTCTCATAGCGGAATACTGCACCAGGTGTTCCTTTAAGGGTAAACACACCCTGACGCGCGCGTGATTTCTGTGAAATGGAAACCTCGTTTAATAACACCAAAATTACGCTTAACCAAAATATTCATGCATATGGACTGGAAAGTCATGGTTTGTTAATAGAATAAATACGTCTATATAGTCTATATAAATATATGTCTATATAAATATATGTATATATGCACGATGGATGACGATGAAATAACATAAATTCTCATAAATGTCCAATTAAATTTTCATGTATTTCTACGTCAAATTCAATTATGTCAAATTTTAAATAGTGTCGCCAGGTAAATTCATGCTGCGTATATTTATATTATTAATTTCATTATGTATTATCGTGTAGATTGTTGTAACGTCGTTAAGAGGTCGTTATAATACAAGGTCATAGTTGATCAATGACGTAACAAATTCAAAACATAATATTATATAACTCACTTCAAAACAAAAGTCACAAATATTCATTTATATCATCCTGTATTTCTACGTCCAATCTGTCATAAGTTAATAAAACATATATTCCAATGTAATTTTCCTTGTGGTTTCAAGAAACATCGTGATAAACAAAGCTATAAGTTGATCAATGACATAACATATTCAAAACATATATAAGTCACTTCAAAACTAAACGTCATAAATATTCAATTCTGTTATCTTGTATTTCTACTCCAATCTTTCATTTGTTTTCCTTTTTTGGCATTTAGCTATTGGAAACATAACAAAACTATACAGTTATAAACCAGTGATTGTTGTCCCATATAACTGTATAGTTTTGTTTGTGCTGTCATTTGTTAATTGATAAACCATTATTTCCCATGTGACTATCGCTTGGGGGCTTCAGGTAGCGTTGATCAATAACATAACGTATTCAAACGATGTCCCATATAACTCACTTCAAAGTGATAGCTATAAATGGGTATTATTATGATATATGGTGTATTGTTATACAGTATGTTTACCCTATATCATAAAATAATACGTTGATGCCATATTCTTATTTGGAGAGCATGCGCAATATATACTATCGGTGTTGACTGGAATAACCAGATGCTAGAAACTGTCTTTCGGTTGAGACTTCTGGCGTATTTCGCCGAACATAACTGATGACAATTCACAGTAAAACGGAAACGATTGAATGTAAAACAGTTTATATAAATTCATATTACATTATTATATGTGTTGCGACCCATTTGTTCCAATTTCTAGGCCCAAAATATTAGCGATTTAGCTCCTTTAAATGTTTTAAGTGGTATTTTGGCAAGGAGTAGGGTCGTCTGTCAAACCTCGTGGGTTTTCCCCGGGTCCTCCGGTTTCCTCCTACTGCTAAAGACCCCTACGCGCAAGTAGTCTAGAATTGACCTAGTCTCTCTCTCTCTCTCTCTCTCTCTCTTTCTCTTATATTTCGTAACTGAATGAGAGTAACACAATGATATTGTCCACAGGTTTATCTTGTCGCTTTTGTTTTGATTGTAGTTCGGTTCTCCTGGCCTTACTAATAGAATACAATTTTAAGGTACTTAGAAATATAAAGTCAACACAAAAGAGAGAAATTTCGATCAACCCATATCGTGTATTGGTGTAACAATTTATCACCGGACTGTCGGTCAGTTGGAAAAGATCAAACTAGGTTTTATGGGGCTAGTCACATTGGGATGCTTGGCGAAATTAAAACTTTTTGGTAAAGCATGACAGAATGACTGACTTTGTCATCGAATACATTCCGTGCACGGAGCCGTCTGTACTTTGCAATACTGTTAAACACTGCTTTCGTGTATTGTGTTGACGAAACATTAAACATTAAACAGCAATCGATGGAACTGAGATCTGTCATGTAAATAAATACAAATCTCAGTGCAAAGTGGAAATCATGGTTTTTGATCTAACACAAAATCTGAAACCTTGAAATAAGTGGTCTGAGCCCAGTTTTTACCCAATCCTACCTGTAGGTGCAGTTATTATTGATAATTAGAAAGATATTCTAAATGTTCGTAAAATGAATGGTATGCTATGAACCTGTCTTATCATCACCTCTATAACTGACATCCATAAACCATGTTTTCATTTAAAGATTTTGATGAAACAGGGGCGTGTTGTGTAAATAAGTACAAGTTTTAGTACCAAGTGGGAAAACATCTAAATAAATAGCAAGTTTATATTTCTTACACAAAACTCTGTGACCAGTTTCTACCCAGGACCTTCGTGAATTAATGGCTAGCTACACATCTCTTTTGCAAGCAATCAATTGGCTGATATTACGTAAAATAGTATAATGAATCTTTCTTATTACCACCCCTTTCATTGAAACCATAAACATTTTTTTCTTTAAAGATTTTGATGAAGCAGGGATGTGGCCGGAGTCCAGGTTCTACCCAAGAGCCAACACAAACAACACCCCCCCCACACACACACACCTTTTGCAGATAATATTAAATTGACGAAGACTTCGTAAAACAATATAATGCACCTTTATTATTGTCATCCTTCTAACTGAACTCCACAATCCATTTTTTCATTTAAAGGTTTTTAAACTCTTGGTTTGTAAATCTTGTCACATAAGGTCGGAAGAGAATCAAATCTTTATCTCATGATTTTGTATTTACCAATCTTTTCATCAATGATTCTATTATTACTCGACACGTATTGTGTATTGTTATTTTGACCTGTGTGTCAAGTTAAAGAATGTTTCTTTTATACTAAACTGTAATTGGAAAACTTAATAACATGCACTCACTGCTCAATTGCAAAGCAAACACAAAACGAATGGTGTTCAAATTCGACATCGCATATAGAGAAAAGAACAAACCACAGATGGCCATGTTTTATAGAAGAAAACACGTACTTATTATGTTGACATTGAGATCATATAAACCCCAAATACTAGACTCCGAAATGCATGCATTGGCCGAGAAAGTTCATCGGGAATTTCCGACCTGGTTTCCCTTTATCAGTGGTGCAGGATGGAGGGCCTGACATGGACAGCTGTCTAGTCGTTCACCTTGGTCGAAAAACCGAGGTCCCGTGTATACATTGGCATTTGGAATTCAATATATTGCCGCTGCCCGGGCAAAATTCCCCATCGCACATTGTATGCCATATGCCCGTCTTCATCAGCCCAGTCAGAGCAAAACAGCAGGACGTTAAACCCCATTTCATTGCATTTCCTAAATGCATGCCACCAATATTGTAGTCTCATCCGAGACTAATCTTTAAATGGCATTTAACGATCAGGAAACACTTTAATAGAACACAGTTTCTATCGGAACAATCACTAGTTTTATTCTAAAAGCATGACGTTTCGACAAATATCCTGTTATCGTTATCAAGCACAATGACATTTAGTAAATTTGAGGTCTATAATGGCTTGAAAAAAACCGAAGAAGCTCGAATGTAGCTTGCCGCATCACTATTTAAACTAATGCCAGGTTCCCACTGTTGTGCGGTCCTTTACGTCTTCCCTATTCAGTCCACGATCTGCTATGTGCAGATACGTTCGCATACGATTCGATAATGGCAACACGATTATTACGACTGGCCTCAATATATTAGACCACATAGTATCACCACAATTACTCCACGATTTCAATTGTAGCACGAATCGTGATAGTGGCACCTAGCATTACACATCAGGTTAACCCAGTTCAATACTTTACCCGGACTTAAATAATTAGCAGTGAATAGTCGGAAACTGGAATAAAATATGTTAACAAAGTATCTATAAACGCATCTTTTTCAACAACGTACAACTTAAAATAATTATAAAACGTTCAGTTTCAATTATTTATACTCACAGTTGTTATTGTAAAAGACAATTCTAGTAAATAATTTATACTCACAGCTGTAATTATAAAAGAAAACTCTAGTAAGTTAAATACAAAGAGTTCCAACACCTGTTATTGTAACAGAACAGTCTAGGAAAGTAAAATTGCTGAATTAACTACATCAAGTTCTCAAAGTAGCTTTAACGGACCACTCTAGTAAATAAACTGCAAAGAGGTGTCACAGTTGATACTGTAAGACAGCACTCTAGTAAATTAACCACAAACAGGTGTCACGGTTGATACGGTAAGGGAACACTCAGTAAATTAATATTCTTAACAACAATATCCAATGTCACAATTAAAGAGTTAATATGCATAAAACAGTTAATTTGCATACATAACCCACAGCGAATAGACATGACTATACCTCCAGCGATAAATGTCACAGCGACTGACTCTTTTTTATTTATTGTTGAAATTTTTTTTCTGTTTTTCTGGTCTCACCCTTTTTTTATTAGCCCATTCTAATAAAGGCCTAGTATTCTCCGCAATATCAATATGATAATTTTTCTTCACATGAACTGGGGTAAATATGCTACGTTCTACAACAATACATAATGTTAGATTTGTTGTGTTAAGAATGGGGTGAAGTTTGTATAAGATACTCTGACAGTCAGTGATATTGATATACCATTTGTGTGTATTCACCCATCTATTGTACTATAGTATAATAAGTTCTATGTACCAGACTATCAGTGTCATAGTATAAGTCTTGTTACTTATTTACATTGTCCACATCATTACCCACCCCAATTACTTATTATTATAAAGCCTGACTATTAATTTTATATTTGACCCTATTTTAAGTAACATCGTGTTGAATAATTTAAATCATTTGAAATTATCTGGAAATAGCAATTTTGATGTCCAACTAATTTCATAAATTGAGTTTCCAAACGCGATATTTGAGAAATTTGTTTGTAGGATGCAGTGAGATGTATCTATAATAAGCTATTTTTTTGCTCGAGACAAAGATTGAACATGTATTGTTACATTAATTAATTACAACATTACTTCGTTAATAGGTGCAAATATTTCTAGAATCCGAACTTTACAAATATCCACCAATTAAGCATAGCCGAAGATTTTAAGGTCTTCCATCTATTCAAGCCGCGAGTACGACTATTTGTGACAATAAGTGGGGTCGGGTAGCCTGTTAGTTATTTGCAGTTTCCCCAGTTTACTCGCATTGACGAAATTAATTATGTCCTGGCGGTCCAGACGTTACCTAGTTAATTTCGTTTGACGTCTCATTAATCACATCCTTTAATTTTCATATCATACCTGTTATTGTCGGGCCACCATTTCTTATTCAGTGAAAAATTACAACATCCTAACCTTCATATTAACTTTTCATATCACCCATCCAGATACACTAGTGTTAATTTAGCTAAGTTATATAGTAGATTCTGAGTATTAGGATTAAAAGTTTCTATTTCAGGTAGATATTAGAGCCATTTTCATCTATTTTAAGATTTCCTCCAAAAAACATAGAGCTATATAGGCCATTAACCTTCATATTGACTTGAATCACTTCACCCATCTAGATAAATTTTCCATGTTAAAGGAGTTAAATCGCTAATATTTGGGACCTAGAAATTGACATAAATAGGTGGCAACGCATAACGCATATAATAATGTAATATGAATGTATATAAACTGATTTACATTCAATCGTTTCCGTTTTTACTCTTAATTTCAAATCAGTTTTGTACGGCGAAATACGCCAAAAGTCTAAATCGAATGGTTATTCCAATCTACATCGGTAGAATTTATTGCGCATGTTCGCCAGATAAGAATATAGCGTCACCGTTTGATATGACTTGTGCCGCGTTCTTCGAGTCCCTTGTTACAAATGGCGCCGAAACGCATTATGGTACAGGATGTACCAATGGTAAAATCTTTATTTTGTCTTAAATATTGGATATCAGAAGCCCATCTTTTCCTGGTAAGATCACAACATCAATGTTGATTTAAATTGACAAATAATTCGTGTTTTCAATGTCGAAGACTTTAGATGGTATTGAGTTAGAGACTTTGCTACTTTAACTTAGCTTAGTTATATTGTAGATTCTGCGTATTAAAATTAAAAGTTTCTATTTGATATACATTTTAGCTACACTTCACTGCTAATACGTGTTACATTTGCGTCTTATTGTGCTCAATCGCTAAATGTCACTCAAGGATTAAATTACAAACCTGGATGCATTTGATAAAATATTTTGTGATTTGTATGGTTTTTGATTTTATAATTTTATCTTAAGAGCACAGCATTTACACAGTCTGCAAAATTGAACAAATTAATTAAAATAGGGAAAATAAATATGAATGACTAATAAAAATAAAAAAATCTTTCATATGAACGTGTATGTTATTGATAAATATACTGAAATTAAGTGAGGTAGTCTTGTCAACGCAATACTTCTGTCATTTTGAAATTATTTTATTTCTGTATGTATTTGGATTGAGGATAATATTTCCTAGGCAGTTGCGTTTCTGTCTATTGTTAATCGAATTCAAACAGCCATGGGTTCTTTTAGATTCACGTCAAGGTAGTGTGTGTGTGTGTGGGGGGGGGGGTCTATCCACCTACCCCTGCCCATCTACATAAGAATTCTAAAACAAAACCTTTTTTATGAGAAAATTGTCACGGTTGTGTCATTTATCCTTTATCATCAGGTGGTGGGATGGAGTGGGCATAATGATATAGGAATGATATGTGATATCACAATTAATGCTTTGCATCAATGAAATTGAATCACAATGTGATCCTATTAATTCCTAATAAAATTTGACGTCCAACGGGGTATTGGATTTCTCTTTTTAAAATGCTCGTTGTGTATGTAGGCCACGTAATTTGGAGACAAAATTATTGTGGCATCATGCATTGTCAACTGTCAAATTTCGTTTACAGGAACCTAGCAAACCCCTTCCTGCAAAAATTCCTTGATCCGCCCCTGAAACCAGATATAATAATCCTGAAGGTTCTTCCCGAATTATAGCTGTTATAAATAAAATATATGAAACACAGGAAAACTTTCATTAGTAAAAAAAATTGAACATCATTTCGCACATCCTGTATGTACATTCACAGTAATTGTGTTATTTTTATGTGAAAATAGATCTGAATGTGATATAAAGTGGTTGCTTTTTTTTTTTACCTTAAACGTTGAACATATAAACAGGTAGCTATACACCGACTCACCGGATATCCTTAGAGCACTTGATAAAACGTAGATAAACGCGCAAATAAACTAGCGTGACAATATTTCACACCCTAGAATTAATATTAACTGCTTATAATCAATAATAAATTTTAACTTTTAAGCCCGTCATCCTTTCATTCGAGCCATGTGTGAAATGAGGGATTTTTTTTAATACCTTGAGTGTACTTGAACTATATCGTGGCGATCTTCATTAACAAAGGGCTGCTGTCTTCATCCTTTTGTTATTCACGGAATGTTAATAAGATTAGGTACTCGAGTCGGTTGTAAAACCTCCATTGTAACTCATCCATTTAACGGACAGTATATAATAAGCCATTTAAAGATAAGGCAGTGGATGGCTAAAATATGAAAGTGTATTGTACACACCTATATATCTTTTTTATCTATTAAAAAGATTATTTAGAATGGCTTACCCATGTATGAAATTAGTAGAAATGAGAAATAACGAGGATTTTCTCAGCTTGTTTTCTATTGTAGTGAAGCTAAAAATCTCTGCTGATTTTCATACTTCACTGAATTAAGTCTTAACACCACGTTGCTTCTATTCAATATTCCAACAGTTATTACTTTTAAATTATCTCACATTTTATCAATCATATGTTAATGAATTAGTTTTGTAAAGCCCTAGGTCCTGGCACACGACAGATTTACCCATAGAAACCTGACAGGCTAAAGCTTAGGGCCCATAAATCTTGAAAGGGGATGGGTGGGGGGTGGGGTGTCTCCGACAAAGGTGTTTAATATTTTTGATGTTGTCGTTCAGACCATCTTTTGATGCTTATAGACTTATTATGTAACATTGTACATCCATAGAAAGAGAGAAATGGAATATAACGCCCACTCGACACAAACTAGGTCATTTCGGTACCAACATAATATGAATCAACTTTATTTGAAAAATTCTCTTGGTCTTTAGCAGTTAGAGGAAACCATAGGAACCACAGAAACCCACGAGGTTGGACAGGCGGCCCTACTACTTGTCACGTACAACAAGGGATGTAAATGATCACCCCAGATGTTATGTTATAGTTGTATGATCAGCATCAGCTTTTATTTAAACCGTGTATGTTGTCCTTGGTGGATGCAATGATACAATAAAATCTTATCTTATCTTATGCCTTTCGGACACATACTATAATCTTAAACATCCGTTTTCATCCCCGTCTTCGCTCAGTCGTGTTTAAAACACACTATCATCTTGCTCTAGTCGTGAGGATGGGAACACTGGGAGGGCCGCATACGTGGATTGTCCAAGGGAAGTCTTTTCATCTAAATACGACCCTGGTCCAGACTAACGGAATTATATCAATAAACAATATATCATGACCTCTAGTCAATAGACTATGTTTTGTCATCTACCGTGTAGCTAGTAGCCTGGGGCGACAATAAAATACCTGGTTTAGCAATGTCACCTGTCACTTTTATGGTGACAAGTTTGTTCTACCTGGCGACTAAACTAAATATAAATGCGAAAACTACTAAACTCCAAGTACTGAATTGTACAATATTACTTTTCGGAATGAATAAAATTAAATTGGGTGTAGCGTTTTACTTTTCCGCACCAGGCAGACTATTGAATGAAGTCGGAGCTTTGGGAGTTGTGTAAAGGCCTTTTGGGTTGCATTCAGAAAAAGTTAGGGAACCACACCCTAGGAGCGACATCGCGATACCAGACTGTTCTTTCTTAACACCTAGATCTATCTCCAAACCAAACTCCAGACCACAATTAGTATTTTTAACAGAGATTTTAAACTCTTCAAATTGATCAAAGTCCCGTTTCTTACTTTTACGTGAGAACCAGTGTGTTCTGTCTCTCATCCTTGTTTCAAGAACTTCGTCAAAATTTCTTATGCAATTATTCCATCTCCAACCACAAAGTTGTATTTGCTTCCAATCAATGTAAAACTGTGGACACAGTGAATATTATTGACAATATTTAACCCAATAATGATAATACCACAGAGTTAATTTTCATTTCGGTTGAATTCTGAACAAGTTCTGTGGACCTAAGACTTTGAAACCCAGTTTCTCGGAACTGGCTGTTGTGGATTTACTTTGTC